ATATAGCTTTAGCTTAGATAAAAATAATTTTTCAGATACCTTTTACGGTTTTTACTCAGCTGTCGTTTGTTCGGAGGGGTGCTATAGCAGCTTAAAGGTGACAGAGTGTGGTGCTGCAGTTTAAACAAAGGGAGGAGCAGGTGGGATCAGCCATTTTGTTTGTGCTTCGTTTTGGGTTGTGAAAGACCTACAGACATGAAGGTTACCCCAGTCTGAGACAAAGGATAGATGTTGCTTTCACTGAAAGAATTTTTCTAATACCTATTACGGTTTTTGCTCAGCAGTCGTTTGTTCAGCAGCTGTTCCTCCCATTCAAAAAAGCCTGAGAGCTAAGGAACGATAGTGCTGCGCTTTTCTCTCTGTCACTGACAGGCTCGTTAAGCGTTGTCAAGGTAACCGTGCTTCAAAGAGATTTTACCTCTGCTGTTTTAAACAGCACATATTAATCCAATGGAGGGTGAAAGCACTGATTTAACATTGGAAAATGGACACTATATGACTGCTGTCCATGACACTTCCCTTGCCACTCAACACTGATAGACTTTCAAAATAAGACTCCAGGGACCCTACAAAATAAAAGCCTCTATATTTTTTACATATATTTATTGCCCTATATGGCTCAACATTATGACCCAAACTCAACCCCATTTTAGAGAATAGACTCTAGGAGACTGTTTAAAACACACCCTATGGCAAATTTCAAAATAAAAGCCTCCCATTTCCGCTTCATCTACTGCCCTAATAACATGGAAAAAGAGTGATTTAACGATTGGAAAGTCATCAACTATGATTGCTGGGTCTGAACATTTTCTCTAAACACAACTCTGTTGGACTTTCAAAATAAGACTCCAGGGACCCTACAAAATAAAAGCCTCTAGATTATACTAATGCAATAATTGATGCAAATGGCTCAACATTATGACCCAAACTCTTCCAGGTTGTTTTTATTAGACTCTAGTGACCTTTTCAAAACACACCCCAGAGCAAATTTCACAATAAAAGTCTCCCATTTACTCTGTAATACAGCAGCTATTCACCTAATAACATGGAAAACCAGTGATTTAACATTTGGAAATGGATTCTATATCACTGCTGGGCATGACCCCTCTTTTGATGCACATCCATGATAGACTTTCAAAATAAGACTACAGGGACTCTACAGAATAAAAGCCTCTTCCTTATACACACTCATACATTCTGGCATATTGCTCATAGCCATTTGTAATTTCATCACTGCAATGGCTCTGAGCATGCGGGCGGAGCCCGCCATTGGTGATTTCATCACTGCAATGGCTCTTAGAAGGCGGGCGAAGCCCGCCAATGGTGATTTCATCACTGCAATGGCTCTTAGCAGGCGGGCGGAGCCCGCCATTGGTGATTCTTTTCATCGCTGCAAGGGCTCCTAGCAGGCGGGCAGAGCCCGCCAACTGCGCTTTACCCACTGCGGTTCAATATGGACAACCCATATTACCCTTGTGCATCATATGCTGTGCACGTCTATTTCCCAGATTTCAGTACAAGTGGCACTCAGCTCTCTTTGCCCATGACCTAGCCCTCTTTGCTTCCCTCAGCAGCCCTCAAAGGCGTAAGCAGCCCCAACGTCACTTGCCAGGGCCGTATTGGCCCAGTTACCCAGACGGGCAGTAGGTGGCCCCCCTCAAAATTTCTTTAGAAATTTTCTAGTTGACATAATTATTTCAGAAATTTTACTTTAATTATTTTATTGGACTGGAAAAATGGGAAAAGAGGGCTAATTAACATATATGGGTGGGCTGCATCTTGTTCTGGTTAAAATACTATATAATCGTTTGTAAATCAAATTATTACAAAATGTATCGCGGTATGATTAATTTAAATGTATCAAAAGTACAAAGCATAATGTAGCCTCTTTTATATTGTGGTAATGTGCAGATATATTTTCTCCCCTTAAAGAATCTTTGAAGAGATAGAGAAAAGCAATAAATGTAAGGACTTTGTTGGCCTCATATGACCTGATTCTGTCATGTTTTCAAAGCCGAATAGGAAAACATGGAGTAAAAATCTGGTGTAATTAGCTGCAGCATTGGAGACTTTGGAGTATTTGAGTATCTTATTGCTTACAAAAGCAAAAAGAAAAAGGTTGCTATTTAATATGCTCCATTGGTATTCATGTGTGTGACTTATTCATAGCTATGGGTTTAACCACTGACTGAATTATTAAAAAAGAAATCTAATTTTTCTTTTTTTAATGAATTTTATTATTCTTATAGGAATAGAGTGACATTTTGTAAATGTGCTTTACTACTTTATTGCTGAGGGAAATCAATACTACTCTCTCATTTGTTTGTTAAAATTGAAACTATGGCAACCATACCTCTAAAAATCATTTGTTCAGCTTGAACAGATCCCATTGAGCTGAGCTGTTTTCCCTCGTTTTCATTCTTTTGTTCTCGGCTAATAGATATTTTTTTTCATCTGAAGCCTTGTGTTAACGTAAAAGAGAGCAACGGTAATCATCTCACGACGAGAGAGAGAGAGTGAGCACACTTTCCCAAATGTCAAACTATACCTTTAACAGACATCATCCCCTCCTTGTGTGACAACAAGTCTAGGTACAATCACCATCTACCTTGCAAAATAGGATATGCATTTCTAAAATAATGAATCCTTTCATCCTTGTTGAAATATTCACATAAAAACTATCCACTGTGAACAAGAAATGATGGATCGCACCTGGGGAGGGACATTGCAGAGACTCACAAAAGTCTCATAACTCTGCTTTTTCTTCTAAAGGCAGCGAAAAAAAGCCTTGTATCGACAGCATTTTCTGAAACTGCCTTCAGACTACTGCTTCTGGAGAAGAATTATTTATCTCCACTCCTTCTCCATTCCTGAGAGGATGTTGTTGACAGCATCTCATCCCACTGTCTAAGAACCACTGGCTTCCATTAGGGTCAAGAATGGCAATATGATGTCTTTGTGAGAGATTTCAGTAGTTGTGGAGCATTTAAAAGCTTTGAGTGCAGCAGAAGTGATACTGAGGCAAAGAAAGAAAACATTTATTGTTCATGAATGTGGTGTCACAGAGGTCCTGTCAGAAGAGAGTGGGAAGGTGAGGTCTCCATTTGAGTTCTCTTAAAAGGGGAGTCTGTGGTTTTTGAAAGATGGGTTTTTAGGGGTAGTTATAAGTAGTGAGTACGTAAAAAGTTAAAAAATATACAGTGTATTATCGGTTTGGAGAATCATGAACAAATTCAGGCTCACAGCTAATCAAATGTCGACGGATTTCATGAGAATATTTCTGTTTTTGTGGTTTAAGTGATCTTGTGGAAAGATTTTTCATTTTTAGCATCCGATAGACATCTAACCCCCTTTAATAAGTGTATTTTTCCCAACTTAACACTTTCAAGCCGGGCATACACTGTACAATTTTTTGCCTTTTTTTCAAGCAGATTTTCCAGTGGTACGAGAAGTGTTTAGATCAGGTTGAGATTCAGCTTCTTCGTGCGTCCTGGGTCACGTATGTACAGCGGGTAACGAGGGGCGATCAGCCTCTAGCGACCACCTCCTGATCAGGAATCGTAAGGTTGGGAGAAAAAAAAACATGTTTAAGATTCAGTCGGCTGTCGTAAGGTGTTCTGGGGCAAATCCTGCTGTTGAATCAGAGCTACGAGCCGATTTACCGGAACCTAAGCACTGCAAATGTGCAAACAAGGGAGTTCTTCTTCCAGATTGAGGAGTCCGACCAGCGCCATCTCTCAGCGCTGAGTCTGACCTGTGGTTTTTGGACGTACAGGGCCCCCAAAGTGTGGGAACAAACATCTTGGTCTGTGAACTTTTAAACCCTGTGGTTTCATCGCAGTTTGAGCTGTAGCTGCGTGTACCAATTAATATATTGTACAGTGCGGGGGACATTCTAGAATCTGAGGTTTAGGGGCCCTGAGCTCCCAGAGAGCTGTCTGGCTAGACAAGATTAATTTAACAGTTTTTTTCACATATTTTTTAACCTTTTTCAGTGCGTTTTGCTAATTGTTGACTCCATCATTCACTAATGCATCGTATCTGAGACATGTGCCAAAAACCTAACAAGTAAAGCAAAAAGCAGCATTTTTTAGCAGAATATTCCAACCAATTAAAGCGTTTAAATCAACTAATTTCATGGAAATCTTTGAATCAGTTTTATTTAAATGAGTTTTCTATTTTGTGTGCCAAAATTACCTTCATGATATACAGTATGTATATGAATGAAATGGTTTTTTTTTTGCCAACTGCTGTTTGGTCTGCTGCTATTCTGTCTGTTTTCTTACCTTTTTTTCCCTGACCTTTCATTTTGCACATACCTTGCTCCTCTGCTCTCTCTTTAGACTGGCAATAATAATATGGATTGTAAATTCAAATAACTAGAAACCGAAAAAAATGATAACGATTTGCTAATGATTCAGTAAATTTAAATATTGATATTGAGTTTGGCTTTAAAGACAATCAAACAAACCAGCCTCAAAACCATTAGAGGACCTCGCTGATGAACATTTCACCAACACACCATCAATCGGAGCAGAAATAGGACTGAACATTTCAGAAACACCTGAATGCAGCGTTTTCTTCAGAACGTTGGTCAACATTTTAGTTAAGGAGCTCCCTCAGGCTTGTTTACTTGTTTTTTTGTTTGTTTATTATTATTTCTGATGATCCAGAACATAATTGAAGGGGTTAAATAACCAAATACTGTATAGTTTTTTACAATACTTTTGTTTGTTTTTTATTGTAAAAAGCACAATACAGTATTAAAAAAACAACTCATATTTTAGGGGTGCTTTGTTTCAAATTAGGGTGGCTTTAGCACCCCCAAAAACAGCTTAAAAACACCTATGGTGCAGTGTATGCCCAGCAGTAGCACCAAAAATGCACACATTATTAAATCATATCTCCTCTTTTGTTTTGTTATAATCTAAAAAAACTTGAAATATACTCGAAAATTTCATAAATAGAAGTTTTCCTGATTTTAAAAATTTAAGCATCAATTTAATCTTTTTAATTGCTCTTTATTAGAAAAGGAAACACAAAAAGTTAATTGATTTTCAATAAATACAATGGACATTTGGGTTCCATGGTGATATGAGTTTTGAAAACATGAATGAATTAGCACCAAAATTCTCCCTTTGGACACCATTGCAGAAAAAAAGCCGTTTGATCTCAAATGGGTTAAAATTTTTAATCTCACTATAAAACCATGCCTTTTTTTTTGAAGCAGTAGCGTTTGATATTTTTACTGAATTCCATCAAATCCAGCTGTTTTGACTTTTGTACATCAGGAGAGTGATCAATCAGAGCAGTGCACAAGAGTTGAGCAGCTGCTGTAACATTTGACAATTGTAAAACCAGTAGTTAGCTGAACTAAAATGTAAGTGAATAAAGTGCTTTGTGTGAAATTTTAAGTCGTGTGTATCTCATGTAAAATGCCCCTTTACATAAATTTGCACGTGGAGTGGAATGAAAGGTGTTAAATGTACTACCACCTTGGGCTGAAAGATTAATACTTCATAGGATCATTGACAACATAATTTAGATAAAATTTCAATGAAGTCATTAGAAAATTGGTCCAATTGCAGGACCCTAAAACATACAGTGAGATGAGACAATTTAACTTTCAGAGCAGACAGGCTCTGCATCAAATTATATGAGATTTGATAAGGTAATTATCTTGTCATTGCTCTTTCATTAGCATAGAATATATATACTGTTTTTAGCAGTAGTAATTATGTGCTGTTTATATATTGCACCTCAGGATTGTGACAATTGTGAAATGGATTTTTTTGACAAAAAGTAAATTATAACTTCACATAGAATCTGAATGCAAGGTAAATGTGCAATAGTGTGATAGAATAAGAAGCAAATCTATTTACATTTATGTGGAACGAGAATTGATGGATAAAGTCTTAGTAAAGAATTAACTCTTTTTGGTAAAATGTCTCTAATTCTCCAAACTGAGGTCACTCAGAATGCTGTCAACTGCAGGTAAGATACTGACTAAAAAGTACCCAATACAACTTTATCCAAACTAAAAAAAAAAAAACAGTTCTTTTAAGTATAACAACCTCTTTTCTTTCAAGAACTTTGGGTTTTTTTATCCACAAAAATCAACGCATTCATGTAAAAGTGATACATTGCATTTGCAAAAGACGATCTAACATTCCACATGACAACTAGGTTTTACATTTGTTACGCCCGTTGTATTATAAAAATGTACAGACTAACATTTTGTGTCTCAGTGCAAAAGATAAATCTTAAAAGGATTTCACAAAAGCCGTGCCGTTTGTAGAAGTCCATCCGTGTCACCGTTCACCTGTGACCCCCACCCTCGCACACCTCAGTCCTTAGCCTGCTCACAAGACCAGCAATAAATAACCAACAGAAGCAGATTTGCAGTCACCGTCAGATAGCAGCAGTGTTTCAGCTTTGACTTTAAATACATATTCACAAACAACAGTTTGTCACTATATACCCACAATTCATCAGAACTTTAGCTATAGATAATAATTATATCATTACCATGACCATTACAACAGAAGGAATTTTAGTGTCACATTAGGATTTAAGTATTTACATTGTTTTTTTTTTCATTCCTCCTTTTTAAAAGTTTTGTGGCTTCATTTCCATGAGTGAATTTCTGCAGTAAAAGAAGGCAATGAAGTGTTTGTAAGGTAAAAAGTTGTGAATGGGGAGTTATCAGCTGGTACAGATGCTGTTGATAGTTATGATGCCTGGGTCAACCAGGCCCAGTTCCTCGTGTTCATTCACACACAGCTGATAGCCGCAGCCCCGCTTACGCTTCAGCGGGGTCACCTTGGCCACCTCTGGCTTGGCACGCGGCGGTAAAAGGAAGCCGACGCTCCCTGCAATCAGCATGTGCCAGATGCTGTGGATGTAGAAGTAGTTCTCCTCTGTCTCTACGAAGGCGTACAGAGCCACCGCTGATGTGGCAATCATGGTCCCGGGAAACAGGAAGAAAACCCAGCGCTTCCAGGTGGGCGGGTAACAGCGTCTGCGGCGAATGGTCCGCACCGTCTAACAAAAACATTAAATTAATAATTTCATAAACTTCATGTAGAGTTAGAAACAGAACATGTTGAGACATATCCCTTCCCCCCTCCCTCCTTCACTCCCTTCTGTTCTTCCTTCCTTCCTTTCTGAAGGAATTCATAAATTTGTGCCATTTAATCTAGATTTCTTTGTATAATTTGCTAAAGAATACATCTGGATCAAACAATCCACTACATGATGGTCATGGAAAATAATATGTTTGAATTATCTGGACCAAAGAATGAACATTTATCTGGAATAAACAAAGTAGAGCCATCTAGGTCCAAAACCAAATAAAAACTGTGAAGTATTGAGCTGTAAGGGACATTGTTTGTTGATGTTTTGCAGAAACAGGACCTGTGAGCTCAACATTATAGAATAAAATATGAATTCCATTATATACCACAGGAAAAAAAAAAGTATTATTATTTTTTATTATTATTAAAGCAAAACTAGAATATTTATGAATAACCTTAAACATTCGTACACATCCACCATGCTGAGAATTCCCTGAGGTAAACCCCTCAAACAACTCATAGGAAGGATTGAGATAGACTTCCAGAAGTTATTTTAACCAGAAAGCAGGATGACATTTTCTTCAGCCACAAACTGAATTTTTGCTTATCTATTTACTTTAATGAGTTAACAAATATAGATAATAGAAGGAAGAAAATCATGAGATCAGAGGTGAGAATGTTAACATTTTGTTACAAAGGCATACATATTTCATGAAGTGCCCTATTTTATTGTCCAATGGCACAGTACCATATTGTAAGTAACAACAGTAATTGCAGCCTTGACATTGTGCGGGCTGTTTAAAATCAAATAAAAGCAACTGAAGTGAGGAAACACTCTTAACTTTTTTATATTATATATTGAAACTGATCAAATCAAAGCAGGGAATGTCAATTGTTCTGATATGAACATCTGTTCTAATTTAGTTAAACTTTGAAATGCAAAAATGTATAGAATTGCAATGCAGTACTTGCCACAAATGTTGTAGCACTTACTAAGGATGAACATACAGAAGAGATTTATAATTAATGTTGTCTTTATTGCAGGAGCAAAAATGAATGCTAAACATATTACTGAGAGCCAACTTTGTTCTCAGTAAACATACTGAATGAGTAGCAGAAATCTTTCGTGAGGATTTATTTTTCTTTTCAGAAAATTGTCATTGGTAGAATTATTGACATCCATCTTGTTGTTAGAATTTGTACAATCCTCTTCCTCCAAATAGGACACCATTTTTCTCTTATCTTAAAGCTTGTGAAATCTCATTGGAGAAGACTGGAATCCTTATTTCATTTTGCACCTCTCTTTGCCTTCTCCTTTTCAGCTAAGCCAATATTTTGTGTGGTTTGTCTTATTTTTTTTTCTATGCAATAAAGGCTTGACGGAAATGGTCATGAATAGAAGTTCCTTTCATGTCTGGTAAACTGTTCCATGATGATTGGACCTAATGTTTTTATCGTTATCATGTTAAAGAAAAAATTATGACCCCTTTTCATTTTTTTGGCAAAGGAAACCAGAATATTCAAACAGTTTTTGGTGATTCTAAGGATGTATAATACCTTACATTTTTGAAAAGCAGATCCACTGTATGCTACTCCATTCCTAACAGTGGGGATTAGAAAGTTTTAAACGTTTTAATCTTTTGTCAAACTCAACTTGGGTGTTTTTTTTAGTTGAATGACTTTATGTTGTTTACATCTAATAAAAGCTATGCTAAACTTACCAATACATCGTCCAGCATGTTCCCATTTTGAGGAGCCTCTGCATTGCATCATGTTAATATTTTAAGATTTATCACTAAATATTAAACAAAATAGATCAGCTCTTAAATCAACTTTTTTTAAAAATGATGCAAACTGTATTTATATAAGTTGTATAAGTTTAGAACCAGGAATTATGGTTAAAAACATATCTTTTCCCAATTTAAATGTCACACATAAAAGGTTAAGATGATCAAACTTATTTGGTGTGAGATTATTATACTGCAATGAAAAACTTTTATTTTATGTTTTTCTTCCACATCTTTCACAGGCTTTTAATAATTGTGGATGACTTTCTACATCAAAGCAAAACACAACAAAGCATAATTGACTCGTTAATGCTCTTATGTATTTCTATTAATATTAAATGGTCGATGCAGACACAGGTCATTGGAGTTTGAACTCACACATAATTAAAGTGGATCGTAAGTTAAGAACCGGTTCTAACTGGAGGAGCTGAGGGAGTGTGTTGTTTTCTTTTTATTAATCTTCACTTGTTACTCTGAGGAGTTTGCATGCCTCATCAAGTGTATTAGACTTATCAGCAAATGGATTTCACTTGTTAGCCAGTCCCTTATCTGTCATGTCATCTATGCTCATGTTCTGTTTGGCAGTAACTGGATATGTTGCCTCTGTCTGTTTTAATCAACAGATTGCGCTCATTTGTTCCCAGAAGCGGCACGATCGCGGCACAAAAACACTTCAGCAATTTCATTTCACTCCGTCTCTATTTTCATCAGCTCCTAAACGCTGATTACTTGCAATTCTTACAGATATTCCAGATATGTTTCCATGAAGATCTGCGCTATTATCAAGGGAAATGCGTGCTCTTCATTAGATGCAAAAATAATTACAAATTCTAGTGTAGGAAATGGCGGTGATTAAGTTATTATGCAGACTAAAGTTTGGATTGAAGACTAATAATCTGTGAGAAGTGAAGTGAGGAGCAAAATGTATCTTTGCACTTCATTTCTCCCCAGCAATGCATATTTTTCTTGTTAAAGAAAACAATTCTAAAGTGGGATAGTCATTTTAACGCTCCAGTCAGGGACTTCAATTGGTTTGGAAAAATCGGGATATTTTGGAACTGACTGATCGGAACAGCTCACCTTCCTCTTACTGCTAATGACACCCCAAAGCAGCAGCAGACGCTCGGTGCCCTCCGCTTCACTGATCTAATTTGGTGGTGTCTGGGAGCATTCAGAATGCCAAGCTTTGCAGGAACATGACAAGCTAAAATGAAAGGGTCAATCCGAGAGGCGTTGCGCTGAGGGAAGACTGTTGAAATGCAGGCATTCTCAGCTGAACATCATGTAAATTATTAACTGTCAAGTAATCAAAGCAGATGCTCAGGTTTATCCTTAAAAACTGCAACATTAGCTGCAGATCCGAATCTAACATTTTCTTTCTATAAAAGTTGCTGTAGTCTTGAGTTCTGATTTGCCAGAAAGCGTTAAGAAATGCTGTCTCAGAGTTTAGGCTTTCATTAAGCTGAACTTGTCACCATATAGCCTACAAAAACCTAATCCTTGCAGTTTTTATTTTTGAGATAACACATGACAAGAGGATATCTAAAATTAAATTAGAAATCATCCAGAGCCTAAGGAAACGCAGAAGTAGGGAGGAATCAGTGCTGGTTAAATCAGTTTTAAATCAGTCATTTAGGAGTAACTTTAAAAGCCTTTGCTGTATATCGTTTTTGTCACAATAAAAACCTTTACCTAATTTTAGTTAACTTTGCTGTTATTATTAATTTAAGTTTTATAGGAACAAGCTTTGAAACTATTTTTACAATCTATAGCTTAGGCTAAAATGGAATAATTCTCCAAAATTAGTATTTTCTGTTATATAAATTCAGAAATACATAGAAAAGAAATTAATTATACACATAGCACTATCCACAATAATTTCCAACACCTAAATTCAGTCTTTATCTGAAACGACAACAATCAGTGTCTAGTATTATTTATGTATACACTCGTACAGTATGTGCACCACAAAAAACAATGATGTGCTTTTGTTTTTCCTCGAATCCATAGCAACATCTCTGGCTCTGTCATCTAAATAGATATGCTGTAGGTGCACCATGCAAACATCCAGTGTTGTCCAATTAAGACACCTCTAGCAACCTGTTTGCAAAGGTGAATAGTGACTTCTCATATGTCTTTCAAGTTTATACACATGTTGCTTTATTAAGGAGCAACAGGTTCTCATTCCAAAGTACTCACAGGGGGCCCAGTTTACAAATCCATTTAGCTCCCCCACAAGAACAGACTTAATCTTTGGATTTGAAATCATGCGGCAGTTAACTCAATTCAATACTGTATATGTATGTGCTTCACAATGTTCTTAGCCGTTTGAAAGTGCTCCCAGAGGTCTCATAAATAGTTTATCCACCAAATCAGCTGATGAATGGGACTGATACCACTTGCAGTTCATATCAATGTACCTTTTAATTAAAACAAAGGTTTTTCTAAACACGAGGGCCCAAACATGACAGTCTCTTCTTAAGTTGTTGACTTCAGCGAAGCCTCAAGGTCAGAGACGACCCATCAGACTGATCCAGGTTCACGTCAATAGCTGCTGACAATGTGCAGTTATGGAATGTAAACTACTAAAGATTAGACACACACACACACATAACTGTTCTGCCATCGTAGTGAAGACCATGTGTTGACTCTCATTGACTTCCATTGATTTTTAGTCATTTTCAACCCTTTCTGTGTCCTAACCCTAAAACTAACCGTAAACCTAACCATTACCAATGCATACGTAACCCTAATCCAATTGACACCTTAGCCCTAAACCAAATTGTTTGCAAAATAGCATGTGAGGACCAGCAAAATGTCCTTACTTTGAAACAACTGGTCCTCAGTCTGATGGTGAAATTGGAAAAATGGTCCTCAGTCTGATGGCTAGACAGATACACACACCCATACACCCCTACTCACACATACTCTTAATAATATTTCACTTTTTTTCTCACCAAGTGAAAAATGTTACAGTATTTTAATTTATATAATATTCATATAGCTGCAAAACCACAAAAAATATATCTAAAAGAAGTAAACAAACAAAAAGAAAAAAATTATTTTAAAATAACACATCTGCGGTTCTTAAGGACCTATTTTTGCCAGTCAAACAATGAGAAAAACAAAAGTGGGTTTGAATTTTAATTTTCTTTAAAAATCAACAGGAACCATCCGTTTATAGCACAATGCATATTAAGGGTGTTATCTACTTAATGTTAGCCTCTCACCCAGCATTGGTTCTCCCCCCTGCAGAGTTCATTACAATTACATGCACGTTCTCAATTATGCAAATTATGTAAAGATGTAATTTACCAACTTTGTGTGGAACGTCTTCCACTATCGGTTCTATTAGAGCATAAAATAATAACATTTAAAAATATGACTTACTACTTCTTAATGTACGTTGCTAAGTAACCTGTATAGTAATGGATCAGTTTTGTATTTGAAGTTCCGATTGAGTTCAGAGTTCTGGGTTGCCAGCTAAGACAATTGTAATAAAAATTCTTTTATTCTATGTACTGTATGTTTGTTTTCTTTTGGCTGTTCTCCTATTCAGGGGTCACCACAGCAGATCATTGTGACTTGGCCTTTCCTGCTTCAACCAGGATACAAACCCAGGTCCCCTAGATGGCAATCAGAGGACCGATTCACTACACTACTAGAACTCATTACATCATGGGGTTGTACTGTATCCATGTATTCAGTTTAAATGTCTTAATTAATTAAAGTTTTGATGGCAATAGGATATCAGATATTACCTTAAACATCATGTTTTGGATTATTATGCCTCCTCCTTCTTGAGCTCAAGCACAAGCATTTGCACGGAGGATTTAAATGCGTAGAGTAAAATAAATTAAAACTCCCACATTTTATCCACACACATTTTTTTTTTTCCTTTCAAGGAAGCAACAAACTTGTTTTCAGACTACGATTTGGGGGGATGATGTTAAAGGTTCTATTTTTTTCAAGGGGCCTCCCTGAAAGACTGTTATTTTTATCTTCTCAGTTCAGGGAGCACATTATGACTCGAAGAGTCAGTGAAAGTACATGTAGAGTTATAATGGAACTACCATCCATGACTAATACCCCACAGGCAGCAAAACTTTTAAAGCCTCTCTTATACCAATATAAAATAACCCTGTCAGTTAGAAATTCTAGTTTTTATCCATACACATTTTCTAGCCCTTGCTGGATAACATGACAGATTAAATGCTTTTAAACCTTCTAGCACAAGAAATATTGGAAGGACGATGCACAAGACACGTTTTGTCACACTCGGCTGTGAATGTTAAGCACAGATGTGTTAAAATAATTGTCTTGCAGCCCCTGGGAATTCCTCTCCAGAGTCAGAACAAAATGTGAGTTTATCAGCAGATAATGTTTACCCTGAAAGATAGGATTCAAACTGCGGCTTTCTTGGTTTCTTTTTAATAAATAATTACCCATGATAGGATTATTGCATTGGTTTGATGCAGCTTTTATAATCTTTAAAAAAAGACACAATCCGCTATCTGATGTTTTTAGTATTCTCCCAAGTACAATAAATTGTGATAGGGAAATTAACAATTCAACAAGATATGCTCTTAACAGAGCTGTACAAATAAGAAAAACAACCCTTACCCATGCCACAGCCATTATGCCCAGTGCAAACAGGCTAGGTCCCAGCAGGTTCCACAGACCGTGACGGTCCAGCTGCAGAGCCATTGACAGAGACATCGCCCCGAGCAGATACAGCACCTTCGCAATAAAAAAAGAAAGAGAAAAAAGAACCCACACACACAGATCAATACCTATCCTCCATAAACACAGTCCAAATCATCACATCACCAATAAATACATGGATAATTGTGTAGTGAGGGAACAGCACAGTCCTTCTGTTATTGATTTGTCTGAAAAGTAATTTTTTTGTAATTTGGGCGACAAAATTGCTATAACTGATTTTTTTTCTCCTCTGTCGGTGTATACTTTAAAAATACACAAGAGAAGCAAAACTCCACTACACTGCATTACAGTGCATCACAGGTAAAAGGATATAGAATTTGAGATATTTTGCCATTTTTACCAATGCTTTTGCTCAGAGACTAGTAAAGGCCATTCATTTATTAAAACTTTGAAAAAATAAAGAAATCTGAGGGGATAATTTGTTCTATCATTATGGCTCCTTATACATTTCTTGCTAAAAATGCAGATACCAAGTGAGGTAGACATCTGTATTCATGGAGTATTTATCTAGCCTGGGTGCCAGTCAGAACTTAGTCCCGCCCACAAGGTTTGAGTTCGGGGAAGTTCGGTCTGGCTCTGCTCCATAGTAGCGCGAGTATTATCGCCCACTGTCAGGCGATCCAATCAAATTGTCAGGGCGGGCTTTATACGATGATGGACAGATGATCAAGAGTAACGTAATCAACCACGTGACCAAAGCGCGCTAGGGTGACAACAATAATGGCTGCCGCTGGAGAGTTTGGGTGAGTAGATTCTGCTATTAGGTCTGTTCTAGAAGATATCAACAGCAAATTAATTTTAAAAGAGGAACAGAGAAACGCGATCAAGGCTCATCTTCTTATTCTAGGCGTGAAACTGCACGCTTTGATTTTTGTGGACAACAACTATGCCTCGCTTAACATACGTCACGCACTCCGTTGCTCTTATTGGTTGTAGGTCTATCCAATTGAGTGCAGAGGCATTTTTTTTCCTGGTTCGTTCGAAACACGCCCCATAATCACAGCTCCATGGAGCAGTATCAGACTCATATTCTGACTAGAATTGAGTCAGACTACGTCAGGCTAGTATTTATCCTCACTTGCGGTTAAAATAGCCCTCCTAAATGCTGCTAATTTGATTCTCTTAATAATACCTGTACTTTTTTCTTCTTTTGTTGTGGAAAAATACTAAAATCATATAACTTAAAGGAATAGTACACCCAAAACATGATTAGCCTTCATTTTCTACTCACCCCCATGCTGAACAACACTCTGGAGTACTTTTTTGATATCTCAAATGCATCTGGAGATCTGGGAGGCTTCTTGCTGTCTGCTGACATTCAATTAATGGAGGTCTATGGTAACCGAGACAGAAAGGTCCATAAAAGTCCACAAAAAACGTGTCAATATTCCTCCATACTGCTCGTCCAATGTATTCCAAGTGTCCTGAGTGGGTAGCATCCAGAATTTACTCGAAACAAAGTCATTTAGAATGTTTTTAGAGCATAAACAGTAGTGTATAGGATTTCCTGAAAGCGCGCACACGCGCGCTCACGACGCTACGGAAGCCGGCAGATCAAACCAGATGAAAGTGCGCATTCAGCGTCTGCTCTTCCAATAATGCAAGCGTAGAAGAAGAAATGTGCTGTTTACCTGTGCAAAGAAAGAAACAACGAAAGAAAAATATCTGAGGACTTCAGTGTTGAGGAAGAGCATGAGTTCTTTGCCGAGCTGAATGCGCTGGTTTGGTCTGCCGGCTTCCGTAGCGTCGTGATCGCGCGTGTGTGCGCTTTCAGGAAATCCTATACACTACTGTTTATGCTCTAAAAACATTCTAAATGACTTCGTTTCGAGTAAATTCTGGATGCTACCCACTCAGGACACTTGGAATACATTGGACGAGCAGTATGGAGGAATATTGACACGTTTTTTGTGGACTTTTATGGACCTTTCTGTCTCGGTCACCATAGACCTCCATTATTTGAATGTCAGCAGACAGCAAGAAGCCTCCCAGATCTCCAGATGCATTTGAGATATCAAAAAAGTACTCCAGAGTGTTGTTCAGCATGGGGGTGAGTAGAAAATGAAGGCTAATCATGTTTTGGGTGTACTATTCCTTTAAGTGATGTCAAATAAAGAGGATAAGATACAAAAGTTTGAGTTAATTATTTAATTGCAGAGAGACCATACTGTTTGCAACCAATGACAAGATCAAGATATTCTGGATAAATATCTAAATCCTTTTTTCCCCCAGAAATTCTAAAAGCCACCTAAATGGTCTCATTATATGATCCCGAACTTTTTAAAGTTGTATGGAAGCAGCTGTTCCAACCGCTGCATTTCCGAATTCTCCCGAGTGATGCCCGACTTTAAACGAGTGAATAAAGTGAACGTGATTGGTCGTTTATCAAGGGGGCGGGATTGTTGTGGCGGAAAGTTCGCAAGCAATTTCGGCTGTGGCCGGTTTGTCTGAAACATCTTGCTAACCAGTTAGCAACTTAGTGCTAGTAGGTTCACAATGGGAAAATACATTGGGACCAAGTAGCACTAATGCTGCGTTCACACCGGGGGCAGCAAAAGCAGCAAAATCGCGTCTGCTGCTTCATTTTTGCTGCTTGTACCAGTTAGTTCTCACGCGCGGCTGAAGCAGCTTTGCTGCTCTGCCTGCGCGGTCCAAAAGTGGCTCTGACGCGCGTTGGGCGGCGCTTCACTATCCTTTCTCTGCCTTGCAGCTATATTTGCTGTGATCAGTGGGAATAAAGTAGTTTTAATATGTTTTTAAGTGAGAAAATACACCTGAAAACTTCATCAGTGCAGTCAGTTCATCCAGATTACGATCCTGCCTCCCAATATTATTTCTGTCGGAGCCGCTCAGACCCCCACATACCGGCGGTGCGCCGACAGAAGGAATCCATTCATCAGCAGCCTCTGGCGGGTCGCCTCCTCGCGGTTTACCGCGGCGGCTGGTAGGTGTTTTTCATCTAAATAATCCGATCTGCAGGCACCACAATAATAAAAGCGAACATATTCTGCCGGCAGATGTATATATTTTAAGTTAATTATGCGTTAATAAACTGTTTAAGAGGAGTAATCAGAGCGGTCTGTGTCATCAGCGCTGTGTCTCTCTCCCAGCCAGCTCCCAGATCAGCTTCTCTGATTGGTTGACGCGGCGCGTCGAGCAGCAAAAATTCAATTTTTCCATCTCGAGCAGCAACGCGTTTGCGGCGTGTCACGCGCGTCAGATGCCAAAACGCGCCCGACGCGCTGCTTCAGCTGCTCAGACGCGCTGCGCTTGCTGCTCGAAACGCGCCGCAGGACCTTTTGCTGCGCCTTGACGCGCGTCAACCATTGACTTTGCATGTAAACTCGCTGCTTCTGTCGCGCCAGCTGCCCCCGGTGTGAACGCAGCATTAGAAATGACACTGTTAAGGAACGCTATGAACAGCTGAAACATTCAAGGAGGAGACTTTCTCTGTCGGAGGTCGTGGATGAGTCTCCTTCGTCATACATTTTTTATTTAGAGGAGGAAAATGGCTAAGGAGATGTTGTGGAAGAGGACGCCAGGGCGGCAGAAGATTGGTTTGGTGTAGAAGGCTTACAGCCGTACATGTTTGAGCCCTTGCCTCGTAATGCTGCCAAATCTGTTAGCTCAACGCCTGGCGAAAACGCAGTCATTTATCCCTGTGAACACTGGGATCTAACTCAATGATAAAGTTCTTATTTCTTGTTTTAACCGTTGCGTCTATTAGCTGTGAAATATGAATCAACATGCTAGGACCGAAAAAATTTGATTGACAGATGACCGTTGATATGTGATTGGCTGAATTTAGGTGTACAAGCTGACGTATAATTAACTGGCCTGCATAAGATAATGAAAAAAAACACAGATTTTAAGAAAGGATTTTTTTTTTTATATAAATTTTCTTATATACATGTTTAAGCTAGAATTACTTAACTTTTGAATATGACTTCCCTACGACCTTAAAGAAAGACTACAATTTTAATGGACAGTCCGATAAGGTCAATGTCAAAAGGCTTTAACTGAAGTAAAATCAGTTCGTTGTGAGTCTTAATCTTTGATGAGTTTGAGAGACATTTCCCAAAATGTCTGACTACAATAGTTGGTTAAGGGTGAAAGGAAAGGTGATTCAAATTACAGAGAGCAATGCAGAAATCTCTGATCCAGAAGCCTTTTATAAAATCTAAACAGAAGTGAAATAATCCACACTGAAACAACTGTTATATATGGACATTTGGAATCTGAAGCTAACCATATAGGAATCATCATTTACTTTCTGGAGAACAGTTATAAGGTCAGATGAGACAACATCTTAAGTGTTTAACTGTAATAACTTTTGTTTTAAGCAGTGAAACCTAAGAATACTGCACAAACTGTCAAGCATAGTGTGGAAGCATCATGGTGTCTGTTAACTGTTAACAGAAGCAGTAAATGGCAAACTACTTATTGAAGAATCATAGAACTCAAACTGAATTTAAACTTTTACCTCAACCATTAATCAGCTTAATGTTTGAAAAGTTAACACAATTGGATGTTCAAGAGAACAATGATTCCAAAGACACATCAATATTGGCTTTAGAATGGGTAAAGAAACCTCAATCCAAATGGAAATGCATGCATTATATTTAAATATCATGTTTGTAGTAGAGAGCACGCTGTTAAAAACACATTGCACCTTTACTGATTATAGTAGTGGCTACAAAAAGCTAGAGGTTTCTTACTGTAAACTGTATTTTAGCATATATTTCGATTTTTAGTCGGTTGTTGAATAAAATATTATGTTAAACATTTGCATTCAGTCGATTTTCTTTTAAGGGAAACTAGTTCTGACTCTGTAAGCTCCAAAGCAGTTTTATTTTGTCCCACTTGTCATGTAAAGGTTCCCATTATGCATGGAGGACCAGATGTCCGCATTTCTCACTTATGTCCCAGTGTCTCACAAATTCACCAAATGTCCTGAATTGGCTGGGTCAAATTATGGAAAGTAAAAAAAAAAAAAAAAAAAAAAAGGTTAACAG